AAAGAAAAACAATGTATTTCAGTTATAGTCTTGTATTTAAATAACTGCAGCTTAAGATAGTGTAATGATGACTATATATACAGTTGCCTACAGGAGTTCTTTTCCTCCCTGTTTGTCCATTATACTAATAATGTAGACATGAGGTGACAGGAGTTATGACTTCATATGATAAGTGTTACAGCCACTGACAACAGATTATCAGATTATGGGTGGTGGGGGGGGGTGGGGCAGTTAGAGCAGGTGATCACAGGTGCTGCCTTTGCCTCCAGGTGTGAGTGATGTGACAGGAATTATGACCTCACAAGACAAGTGTTACCTTCACTGACACTTGTTTCATCAAAAGATTAAACACGTAGACGTTTACAGTCATCCATAGACTCACATTTATGGTACAACAGTTGCAGAAGTGCATGCAACACACCTGGTTCCACATTGAGCTGAGAATCCAACGATGCAGTGTACTGATAGATGGGAAACGAAATTGACTTCTATCAGGCAAGTAGTGATAAGCTTTCGGGCTTAAGCTGCGAAAGGTCAGTACTCGAATGATATCCTCCTCAGACCAGTATATTACAGGGACACCAGTTGAGAACAAAATCACTTGGGAAGAGAAAAAAAAACTACTAAAAACACCATTAGTCGCAGCAGTAGCCTTGATAAAAGTATTTTCTCTTTGGTCTTGCAAATAAATCCTCTCCTTCTCCCATCCTTTTTTTTTTCTCAGTGAGAGGAACATCTCTCTCCCTCCTTACATCATCCAGTTCACGTTGTAAATCCACAGTGATCAGAACTGGTCTCTCTTCCTCTGACTTGTCTGCTACTATTAATGTTCCTATGTCCAATAGGGCACAGAGAGAGAGAGAGAGAGAGAGAGAGAATTGTAACTATGTACAATTGCCTACAGGATAACCTTTCCTCCCTGTTGTGCTCATTATATTAATAATGTAGACATTAGGTGAGGTTCTTAGATTAGACTTTTTGTGCAAGAGATAGGAAACGTAGGACTTAGGTGTGTTCTCCTGTGGCTGGGATAGGGCATAAGAACATAAGAACATAAGAATGGAGGAAACTGCAGCGGGCCTATTGGCCCATACTGGGCAGTCCCGTTTACACCCAACCCCTATTGCTCAATGAGCATCCAACCTATGTTTGAAGCAATTCAGCGTATTCGAGTTAATGATGATATTTGGTAACTTGTTCCATTCATCCACTACTCTGTTTCCAAACCAGTGTTTACCTATTTCACGCCTAAATCTAAATTTGTCTAATTAAAAACCATTGTTACGAGTTCGCTCCTGGTTGGATAATTTGAGTACCTTTGTAATGTCCCCTTTGTTTAGCCCTGTCTTCCACTTATACACCTCTATCAGGTCGCCCCTCGCTCTACGTCTCTCGAGGGAGTGCAAATTAAGATGCTTTAACCTGTCTCTATACTCAAGGTTCCTAATGCCCCGGATTAGTCTTGTCATTCTCCTCTGAATTCTTTCCAAGGATTCTATATCCATTCTGTAATACGGTGACCAGAACTGAACTGCATAATCCAGGTGTGGTCTCACAAGAGCAAGATACAGTTTTAGGATGACCTCGCTAGTCTTGTAACTAACACTCCTTTGTATGAACCCAAGTACTTTATTAGCCTTGTTACGAGCAAAAACACATTGTTTACTTGGCTTAAGGTTCCTACTTATCATTACTCCTAAATCTCTCTCGCAGTCGGATTTCTCTATGGCATCGTTGTTCATCTGTTATCTGGTTTCTGTTTACATCTCCTATACTGAGTACTTACATTTGTCGACATTGAATTTCATCTGCCATTTTTTCAGACCATTCGAAAAATTTGTTTAGATCTTCCTGTAGTTTTGCTCAGTCCGCCAGATTTGATAACACGTCCTATTTTAGTGTCATCAGCAAATTTACTTATGTTGCTGTCTATGCCGATATCTATGTCGTTTATGTATATAATAAACAATACTGGTCCAAGTACTGAGCCTTGGGGAACTCCACTTGTGACGTTGCTCCAATGGGACTTAGTGCCGTTAATGCTCACTCGCTGTTTCCTGTCCTGTAACCACGCCCTAATCCATTTAAGGATGTCACCTTTGATGCCATGAGCTTCTACCTTTCTAATTAGTCTTTCGTGGGGGACTCTGTCGAAGGCTTTACTAAAGTCGAGATATACCACATCATAATTGTGCCCCTCGTCCACCGATTCGAAAACTGATGAAAAGAATGTTAATAGATTAGCTAGGCAAGAACGTCCGCTTGTGAAGCCATGCTGGGAATCATTGATCAATTGCTTTCTCCAGGTGATTTCGAATAGAGTTTGAAATGATTGCTTCCAGTAATTTGCCTACTATTGATGTTAGACTGATTGGGCGGTAGTTAGAGGATAGTGATCTATCCCCCTTCTTGAAAATCGGTATTACATTCGCTATCCTCCAGGATTCTGGTACTACACCTGTTTTTAAGGACATGTTAAACAACTTTGCTAAGGGCATACTAAGCTCTTCCTTACATTCCTTTAATACTCTGGCAAATATCTCATCGGACCAGGTGACTTATTAGGCTTTAAGTTTGTCTATTTGCTTACTAACATCGCTACTAGTCACTACTATCTCACTTAATTTGTTTTCTTCACTATCTCTGAATAGAGACGGTGCCTCGGGTATCATGTTTAAATTTTCGGTGGTGAAAACTGTTGAAAAATATTTATTCAAATTATTGCTCATTTCTCCATCGTTATCAGTGAGCTCGCCGGAGTCTGACCGTATTGGTCCAATCTTTTCTCGTGTTTTAGTTTGATACATTTTGTAGAATCCTTTGGGGTTTGTCTTCGCCTCCCTTGATATCCTTACCTCATTATTCCTCTTTGCTTTCCTTATCTCGGTTTTAACCCTACTCGCCAATACCCTATAATAGTCCCGGAGGTGAATTTCGCCACGATTTATCCTTCTACCTATAGCCTTCCTTTGGCCAATGATGTTCTTTAAATAATTATTTATCCATTTAGGGTCATTACTGTCTGATCTGAGTTTTGTATGGTATGTTCTGCCTTTGTGCATAAGTAACTCACTATTTAAATTGTCGCGGAACTCGGCAATCTCAGATCTCGCTATCAGGTCGGTGTCATCTGTCAGGTTCACGGCCAAGCGCGACACCCCCTCTCTCAGCTGCCTCTTTAAACTGTCAAAGTTTGCCCTTCTGAAATCTGGTACTTTAGTGGAATTTTCCTTACGTCTGCCCTGAAAATCTAACTGGAATCGAATTTCTTTGTGATCGCTGTTTGCTAGTTCGTTCCCTACCTCGACATTGCTAATGAGGTTTTCTCTGTTCGACAGAACTAAATCCAGTATATTATTACCCGTGTGGGTTCGGTTATATGTTGACTTAGGAAACAGTCCTGGATCGTCTCGAGAAAATCCTCTGATTCTGAGTTGCCCGTAAGGTCAGTCCAATCTATTTGGCCAAGGTTAAAGTCGCCTACTATACAGACTTTGTTGTGTATGGAAGCCCTGCGCATTTCATCCCAGATAAGTCGCTCATTGACGCTATCAAGATTGGGGGTCTATATATTACTCCTGTGATTAATTTTTCCCGACCGTCGCTTAATTCTATCCAAATTGTTTCTGTATTCCTCTCAGTTTTTATTTCCTTATTTATTTCACACTTCAGATTATCCCTAACATAGATTGCTACTCCGCCTCCTTTCCTGGTCTGCCTCTCGGTATGGAACAGTTTGTAACCCGCAATTTGGTATTCGACTGGTAATTCACGTGTGTCTAGGTTGATCCATGTTTCAGTGAATGCAATTATATCGATTTCTTCGGTACATACAAGGCCCTAATATCATCCATTTTGTTTCTCATACTTCTACTGTTCGCGTAGTATACATTTAAGTTAGTCGTGTTCTGAGTCCTCCCCTTACCGCGTTTAGTTTTAAACTCCCTGTCTAATTTAGTTTTGTCATCATTCCTAACACTATTTCCCTGTAATCTTTCGCCTTGTTTACCCGCTCCCACTGCAGTCTCCTCCACCCCCGTGCTCATATGTTCTCTTAGCAGTTTAAAGACTTTGATATCTTTTGAACTGCCCCCTCTAGAGCCCCAGCCAGGGCTGCTACTCCATCCCTAGACAGGTGCACCCCATCCCTAGCATAAAGGTCCCTTCTGCCATAGAAGTTGTCCCAGTTGTCAATGAATGGGACTGATATTGACTTGCAATATCTGTCAAGACGGTCGTTGACACCAACTGCCCTTGACAACCATTCACTGCCAACTCCCCTTCTAGGCAGGACACCGCATATGATAGGGATCCCTCCCTTAGTCTTAATACGATCTATGGCTGCCTTGAACTTATCAAGAAGTTCCTCGCTCCTACACCGGCCAATATCATTGCCTCCTGCACTGAGGCAGATAATGGGTTTGTTCCCATTACCTCCTGTTATGTCTTTCATTATTATCACTGTTACATAATTTTCACCAAAAACAGATTTAAATGTTTTTTCTTCACAATAATTTTCCATTTACAAATGTCCAATGACTTGTCCACATCCTCTTTTGTTATCTTCAAATATCTCAATCTTCTTGGATCTTAAATTTATAAAATCCTTTTGTATCAATGACATAAGCATTTCCCTTATGATTAGCATGATTACATTAGTCCCTACATGTGCCCATGAAAGACATTTTGTGAGTACCTTTCACAGCCCCCCCCCCTCCTCCACTGCCACTAGGTGATTTTGGATAATCATGAAATTTACAGCTAAAAAGAATAGTAATATTTTTAGTTGTTTACAGTACTTGGCAGGTATTAGAATCATTTGGTAATCAAACTTTTCCAAATAAAATTCATACTTGTCTACTGCATTCGAAGGGTTTTAATTTTTGAATTAATGTATGGCCAATCTTTGTAATTAGAAATTATTGAAGCCTATTTCAAGTCCAGGAACAGATGGTTATTATTAACACAAGATTCCTCCTCTTCCACAAGCTCATTACATATATTATCATGCAAGTTTAGCAAGGCAAGTCATTCAGATGTATTACCTCATCGTCGTCGTCAGCTAACATGTTAACTTGGGGTTGCTCTACGGGTTGGTCCTTCAACCGCTGTGTCATCTTGTATGCTGCCTGTCGCTTTGCAAGCTTCTTACTTTTACCTGTACCTGTTGAAACCTCCAAGAGTAGTAAATATTCATAAATGGAGAACTGATCCTGAAATTCTATTATCTAGTTAAGCCTCTAGAGGGTTTGGCCATCATGCCACATCCCCATTTGACAGCTGATGGCTCATCTTAACATCACCCATCTCTAAGAAGAGAGAGTAGAATCAAAAGTTGCCCACTGTCGGTAAGAGGTTTAGTTACAGCGGAATTAAATAGTCAGTATCTCTGATTTCAAGAGCAAAGTATCACCTTGCTTTAAGTTTCTAGCTGAGTAAATATGAACCCATGGGATGAGTGACAAAGTCTGAGCTGCCTATCTAGAGGTTCAACTAGAAATGAGGTTTTGATCCTGAAAACACATTTTATAACAAGGCTTTTATGAGGTTTTCCCAATAAACCCTTAGACCATGACAAATGGTGATAATGTGAAATCAACCACTCCCACAAGACAACCATTTCTTAAAATGAGATATCAGAGGTCATGGTTTGCTATATTTCCTTAGTGTGAAAAGTCAAGATGCTGTGTAGTTTATTCTTTTTACTCCACAGACCACACCACATTTGACAAAACAGGAAACCAGGCTCACAGCAACTACACAATAGCTTCAGCTAAACACCAAGGAAATCCCAGGGAGGCAGGTGGGATGTGGGATCACTCACTGGTTATCAAGAAATGGGATTTCAGGATCAAACCCTGAAAGAAGTACCAATCACTATATGGCAGGCAATTATCTCAAAGACTCCCCATTACCTACATAAAACTCTTATGTTGTCCCAAGCTATGGAAATGAATTCCTAATATTCAGGATGATGATATAATTAGGAAGTAGGGGCCAAACAGGATCTCCAGAAGTGGAGCCAGGGAGTAGAGTAAAACGGACCAACAGTTGATCATGACCACATCAACCATAAGACTGTGGTAACCCACACTCTCCCCCAATAACTAACTAACCAGCCAGAACTAGGTGGGTATTTAGCAAGGGTGAAAAACCATGTCTCCACCCATTTTATGCCTAAACTTTGGAGAAGAAAGCTGAATAGCACTCTGATAAAGCTTATTCATTAAGGGACGCTACATCCTACCCATCTAAAAGACAGCAACCAGTGTAGAGATACCTCAAAACTGTTTCATCTTTGAGATCACTTGAAGCAGCTGGGAAAGAGAAGGAATAGTAGATATCTGATCCAGGATATTTAAATCCAAGGAAAAACAGCTTCTTCACCATCTACATTCAGTATTATGAGGTAAACATATTTTTTCAAGGTAACTGAACAAAATAGCAAGATTGAAAACCAAAAACACATCAAATCATAAACCTTCAAGGCACCTGATGAAATTGCAAGAAATTTAACAAAACACACAGAGAGAGAGAGAGAGAGAGAGAGATCAGAATATGGTTCGGTGATGTTTATATACTGAAAGAATGTGAAGTGAAGGACTGGTAAAAGAAAAGGCAGGAAGGGGGGTGGGGGTATCCATCATGAAAGCAGCAATGTACAGTAGCTAAAAAGTATCTGTGTATACTGTGTGTGTTGTCTCTTTATACTATGTGATAGTAATCACTTGACCGTTTTTTTTATTCCTATATGTCAACCCACCCACTGAGTTGGATACTGAAAGGTTGTAGGTGAAGACACGCATACCAACCCTCCCAAGATATCACGAGTTATACGTACCCACCCTGTTAGACACTTCTTTAGCTACTGTACATAAGTGAGCAGAGTATGGCATCATTTTCTATTTGGGGAGGGGGGGGTGTTGTACTAATGGTTGATGCAAGCATATACACAAAGGAAGAGGGAACCACAAGGGATATGCCGTGGAAGTTCCTGGAATATATGGAGAACAGAAAATACATGTACACAAACAGTCGTGTATCAATCTCAAGACACCTAGTTATATACACTGATAATTATTCTAAAGGTGCAAATCGGTCCAAATAGCATGAGCAGCTTTATTGTCAAGCAGGGGTGAGATGAGCCATAGCAGTGGTGCAATGTTTGACTGGGTTGTATGGCTTTAGTAGTTTAACCTTATGCCTCCAAAGGAAAACATTTATCAAGGTGATAGTTATGATACAAAGGGATGTACAGTATGATCATAAGGTCATCCTCCAGCTGTCAACTCAGGGTCTGAGTGATGCCCTTAGAGGCTAGCACATTAATGAGAGCCCCAACCAAAGGTGTCAAACTATAAAAGCAACATATTATCTAATACACATAAAAACTTAAAAAAAAAAAAAAGTTTCATAAATGAATCCAAAATAAAAAATCTTTACCAATTTCTTTTGTATTGCCGATGGTGCAAGCAATGGAGAAAGTTCGCTCATGAGGGAAACCCTCCTCCGAGGTAAGATCATAAGTGGGAGGGGGCCACCGACGCGCCATGCACAGCTCCTGTAACATAACAAATTGGGATTTACAAAACTAACCAAATAGTTGTCAAAAGATGCAAGTAAATTACAATGTTACTGAAATAGAGATAATTTATAATCCTCTCCTGGTTCCTTCTAAGTGTATTATATATTATAGTGTACACTATGCAGTAAGCCCTCCATCAACGCAAATTCACTCGTACACTCAAAAATAAATGCGACAGTAATGTGTGTGTGTGTGTGTGTGTGTGTGTGTGTGTGTGTATATATATTATTTGGCCTTTTAGATTATTAAAAGATGTTTTTGCTTGGCCTATTTTTGTTATTTCTTTCAGACATCTACCTTCACAGGTAATATTACTTCACACATAAAGTACATAAAATTTTCCATTTGTTTAAGTTTCCTGTTGCCTATCCTAATTTTTTGTTTGGGAAAATAATTTTCAATTTTGAAACAACTATTACTATCATCTTTACAGCATTAACTCTTAACCCATATTCTTCACCCATTTCCCATTAATCTGTTAGCCAGTTTTTGCAACGCCTCTTCACTATCCGTGATAAGAGCAGTATCATCTGTGTAGAATATACAGTATTTGATATTACTTTACCATTAACTTTTATTCCTCCGTTGAAACTTAAAACTTTTCCCATTAAAAATTCTGAATATATCAGTACCTTACACAACCAGGTTATTACTCATTTCAACAAGGGTACAGCTCCTATTATTCTGAAGTACTGAGGGTTTTGTGTGTACAGTATACAGTATTATATAATGTGGATGTCATACACACCTGCAAGGATCCAACTGGGTTCCCTGGGATACCATCATCATATGGTGAGACAATCTGAGTGGATCTGAAATAAAGAATAATCTATTGTTATACAGCAGATGCTACACAAAACCAACGGCAAAAATATATATATTTTATTGATAACTAGATGTATATTAACTCAGTTCTTGGTATATCTCCATCTCCTGAAAATTATGCAAAATCATCTTTTTTTTTCTTCCTAAAATAAACCAACACAACCTAAAACTACATAACTCAAGAGAGTAAAAGAGCAGTACTATCTGAAAGGCCTTTACCTAATGAAATGCATTAGATAAGAGATTACCAAGATGCAAGTTTCAAGAAAAATTCTGAACACTTGTTTAGGCAAATGTATTAAAGAAAGGTCGAGACATTACCCTCACACTGTACTGTACTACACCCTTCTTTGGGTACATGGAAAGTGATGAACTAAAAGCTTGGTTTAGTAATTCCACCCTTTATCAATTAATTTATTTAACTGTTAACAAAATGACTTACAGCTCAGGTGGTGCCCCAGGCGCTCCACCAGCTGTAGGTCCACCAGCTCCAGCAGCGCCACCCTGAATAATTATGTCCAGTACTGCTTTTGCTGCAGCATGTTTAGCTTTCTTCTTACTCTGCCCTGATCCATTAGCTAGAACAAAGTACTACACCATTAGTCACATTAAAAGTTATATGAATGAATACTGTATTAAGTACTTAAGTATGCAAAAATACAGTGGGGTATGCTATAACGAACGTAATTGGTTCCAGAACCTCGTTCGTTATAGCATTCGTTCGTTATAGGATTAATCCGTTCCAGGCCCCCAAATACAACCGCTTAACACTGAAAAAATTCTGTGGAAAATGTAAAAAATACGGTACTTTATCTTACCTTAGTGTTATTCAGCATGCAGGTACCCCTAAACACTGGCACATCACTATCACTTCCACTGGGAGTCTTGGCTTTAAGGTCCTCAAACAATTGTTTAGCCTTCTCACAAATTATAGCTTCACTAATGTTACCACCTGCCATTTCTTTCTCCTTTATCCACACTAAGAGTAAATTTTCCATCTCTTCAATCACATTACACCTTGCTTTGCTAAGTCTAAAGATTCCCTTAGCCACTTGCACAGTTTTTAACTCCTCTTTATTCTTCAAAATCGTACATATAGTCAATTTAGCCATCCCATATTCATCACTAAGTTTCGCAATGCTTCTTCCATTCTCACGTTTCTTTATAATTTCTTTCTTAGTTTCAAGGGTTATTAGCTTTCTCACTCGCTTTGGACGACTCATTCTTACAATTGTATACTTGTATAACAAAATAGTTATACAAATAACGCGAATTTCCACATCAAAAGACGAAATTTCAACAATAACAGTGGTGCACTGGCTACACAATGAGACAAAGATGGCGCCTGACGCTCTTATTGTGGGTCGCGGTACAGTGAGTTCTGCTATAACGCGTGTTTTGATAACGCGAATTTGCTCTAACGCGATTTATGAATTCGGAACAATATTTGTATAACGCGAACGCTTGTTTGCTATAACGCGATTTTTGCTTACTATTTCTCCAATTTTGTGGTATTAACTGTGAATATGGTAAAGAAGAATATCTCCAAAAAGCGCTCTGATGATAGAATTCCCGGTGATTATCGTAAAAGAAAGGATATAACACTTGAAGAGAAGCTCTATGTTATCAACCTCAAAATCACCCTTCTCCCCCATCAAGTTACATTCATATTTTTTCAAGGTAAAGTGTTAAATTTACTGTATGATTTCATTATTAGATATGAATGTAACATTTATTTAGACTGTGCCATCCTTTGTGTTAGGCTAACTACTAAATTTTTTCGATTTCGAGTAATCTGCACCTAACCCTATTTTCTCCATAAGCCCTGTTATTTCTATTACGCGATTTTCTATAACACGATATTTTACAAGAACACAATTATCGCGTTATAGCAGAACTACCTGTACAACAATATTCATGCGCCAGACGAAATAGTCCCGTATTCATCCGCGTTCGTTGTAGGAGTTGCGTTCGTTATAGCATTCTCAATTTTATAGGTAAAACCGTTCGTTATAGGAATATTCGTAGTAGGATCCGTTCGTTATAGCATACCCCACTGTACACATACAGTACAAGGACACCCCTATTACAATGAAACTTCATTAAACTGGGAATCTGGAAAATATATCTACATCATTATCTGACCTGTCTGTAACTGTACTTATTTACATAAAACAGAATATTAAGAAATAATCTGATTATTCACAAAATTCTTCAAATTTAATTCGATCACAGTTATACTTCAAGGCCAATTCAGGTAGTCCCCACTTCACATGAGAGAAATGTTCCTAAAGCACCTTGTCCTGTGCAAATTTGTGCTAAAAATAAAAACTGAGAGGTGCACAGTGAAAGGAAAGACAGAGACTGAAAGAACAGGAAACAGGAGCTCAGCCCAAAAACATACACTAAAAAATTCCTAAGACATTACTGTATTTTTTTCAATTCAACACTAATTCCATTACAACATTTCATATACTTTTTAATAAATTATAAATCACTCCAAGTCTGAATAACTGCTTCCTGGACTGTAGTTGTTCAGGTGACTCATATCATGAAGGAACGGCACAGTGGTGGGCCTGTGCTAGCAGACAAACTTGCCCACTCGTGCTGCCATCTATTGAGGGTGGGGGAACTATTTTCATCAGGTGACCAATTGTTCAGACTCAAGTTGAGTTACAATTTATTGAAGAGAGTTCAAAATAATGGAATTAGTGTTGAAGTGAGAATGAGTAGTGCCTTAAAATAATTTTTTAATGTACTGTACATTGTTGGGCTGTATCCCATACTACCGTTCTCACACACCTTCCTTCCAACAAGTATCTCTCACCTTTAACACGACTCTCAAAGGCTTTTTGGATCCGTATAGCATGAGATATTTTTTAGGAATGTATCTCTGGTGTCAAGTGGGGCTACCTGTTGTTTAGTGGGGTATTTTTTTTTTTTACCTCCGGACACTAACCCCCTCGTAACATTGAAGCATTCCATATTCTATGGCATATAGGCATATAGACACACTGTTGCTTGTAGGCTCAAACTGTTTATGAACTTACTGAATCAAATTGATTTTGCATAAATATTTTAGAAATTAAATATCTATTTATCACTCCCACCACCAGGGTTAGGTTAGGTAAATTCTTAGAATAATGGTAATCAGAAAATACAGTTTTCTGTCTTCTTCGTCTTTGTTTTGGAATACTACAGTATAACTGAAGAGAAAAAATCAAAGTGATGAATTAATGCAATCACAAATGCCTTGAGTTTGATAGTCTACCAAGTCTAATGGTAAATATGGAGGACTTCACAACCGTTTCCCCCCATCTCAGTAACAGTAAGTTCGCCTACAGCAGGAATTAAGTTAGTTTAGCTTAAGGTTAGGTTAGGTTAACTTTTAATTACACACTTTTTAACACATTTGCCATAACTACGACAGTGTCCACTATAAAACACAGTGAAATTGCAGCATTTTTAAATTCGTTTTCAATGAAAAATCAGTGGCTGTCGTCATAAACAATTACCAGTCTAATAAGTTTCTGACAGGGAGGCAAACATTTGAAGAAAAGGAGCTTATATACCTACCAGCAAACTCTCCAACCGTGACTCTGTAGACAAAAGTTGGTTCATGTACAGCACCCTCTATCTGCAGCAAGTCATATTTTGGAGAGATTCCTCGTCGCATACATAACTCCTGAAGAAGTGACAC